CGGAAATGGCTAGAGAAGGATCTCGAAGTGTCGAGTCGGCTATAGGAAGGTTCTCGTTTGCTCTCGAGGGCTATATAGCGGTTAGTAGGCGTCGGACGGAATTTTCGCCTACCTAAATAATAATAGCTAGGATTAGGAGAAGGACCTCTAAGTGTTAGCTAGGCGATGCGGTATGTTTTATATTAAGGTGTTTCTAGTAGTGTAGCTAGCCGCCTAGCAATCCGGACAGCTGCAGTCGAGTCGGCTTAGCAGAATAGCGAAACCTTAACGCGCTAACGTCGTACAGACTTGTCTAGTAGGTAGAATAAAGCGCAATTAGTAGGGCTACAATCTCCGCTATTCAGATTGTTGTATTTACGTAGTCGCGAAAAAGTAGTACGTCGCAGGCTAGTTTAGCACGGCTTGTTCTTAGGCTTGTAGGCGAAGAATTATTAGATGTGTTTATAATTAGCTAGTCGGAAAGTTCGGAAGCTAGCCCTAATTACTAATCTATTACGTGCACCCGGTCGCAGTTTGATTCTTTATACCTATAAGCCTAATAGGAGGTAGCTCTAGTGCCCCCTAACGCGTAGCGAAGGTTAGGTAACTAAGGGGAGCCCGCTCGTAGGTTATACTGCGTAGTCCGATTTCTTGGCGCTCTATGATTAGTCAATCTCAAAACACGGATCTGCCTAAGGCTTGCTTAGCTATACGGTGCCTCTTCTCTATTAGTACAATACCTTAACTAAGACTAAGAGAGTATACGAGTATAAGGCTACTAATAAATAATAGATAAAGGCAAGCGGTCTTATAGGCCGCTAAAAGTCCGGATATACGTAAGTAATATTAAAGTACTACGGCCGAGACTATAAAGCCGACTTTTGAGTAGTATACTACGATTAAGCGAGACAGCGGACGGCGGTAATCCCTAAAAACAGGATCTAACTAGTTAAAGCTAGCGTACTGCCTAAAGGAATTATCCGTATCTTTAAAAAGTTTACGTCTAACGCTTTTAAGCTAGCTACCGTTTACGGGGATTACCCCCGTTCGCTATCTCGCTTAATCGAGGTATATATAGTATCTAAATATAGTTTAGCCTTATATTACGAGATTAATACGTAGTTATAACCTACGAGCGGCCGCTTCGTAAATTCTTCGATTACTTACGTAGCGATCTATAGTATATATTAGCTTAGACTATACTAGCGGAGACTATCGCTACTATACTAGATCTAGCAATATTAGTAGACGCGACCTCTATAGGTGTATACTAGGCCTCCGGCCGTAAAGGCTATATATATAGTATAATATATAATATATATATAATATACTAGATAGTAGGCTCTATTACTAATTAATACGTCGCAAAAGCTATAGCTAGCTAAGTGCAGAAGCATATAGAGCGGTCCTTGCCTTGCCGGCGGCGCTAGCAATCCGCTAATACCCGTAAGTACTAATGTAACGTAGGTAACATAGTGCTATTAACCTTAGAAGTTATACCGAAAGCACTTTCCTCTTCAATATCCGCTTTAAGCAGACCTGCTATATAATGCCGAGCATCGATAATACTAGTACCGACGTTGAAGCAAGCACTAGCATTCCGCTATCTACCGAGAGTATTATCCTAGCATCGAATTCGTACTATAAAAACTAGGATTAAGCTAACACTCTTCGAGTTAGTCTAGAAGGCAGTATTACTACGCATCAACAGACGCGCTTACTATATATAATAATAAGCTAATAAGCAGCGACTTAGCTAAGCCGCTAAAACATAATCTTAGAAAAGCTTATCCTAGTGCTATACCCTTACTAGTATAAGAAACACCCTCTCTTGTAGCTAAATCGAGGATAGAATTCATATAATATCTACGACTATTCGACGGCTTAGGCGACTTTTACGTAGCCTCGCTACTATACTCCTAACGTTAGCTAGTTAACTCGCGAGTACTATAGTATAAACTTCTATATATCCTATCTACCTACCAAAATTATGCCCTAAAGCAAACGATTAACATAAAACTAACGCTCTAAACTTAATGCCCTCTATATCCTCTAATATAACGCAAATCGAAGCTCGACCTCCTAGCGCGAATCTAAGCTTACCTTGCCTCGTTACTAGGGAGTAATAGGTCTTATACGGTATAACATCCGACGAAATCTACAAAGTTTAACAAAGCTAAAAATCGGGCAACGTAACGGGCCTAAAGTAGGGCTAATAAGACGACTAGGCACGTAGATAGATTAACGATCTATTAAAGTCTAAAAGGCGCTTTTGCGACTTTGCCTCTTTACAACTTTTAAACCTAAGTTATACCGAATGTATAGCGTCTTCGCTAGGGATATAGATATACGGTATACTAAAAATAGCCTCTATATATACCGTATAATATACAGGTATATACCTAGTATATACAGTCCGTACTAGACCGAGTCTAGTTTAGTATATAAGTGCATATACAAAAGGAGATAATAGCTACTAAGTAATACTTAGTATATAGAATAGTATTTAATATAGTAAGACTAGACAGACTAAGTAGACTAAGACTAAGTAGTAGAGGCTTATAGAAGTGCTATTGCCGCCTCTTCGGCGGCTACTTTATAACTCTCGTCGTCGCTATTTTCTATATATAGCGGACTCTACGGCTACGTATCGAAGTCTTAGTTAATAGACTCGGCATTATATTAAATCTAAGATAGTTAGCTCTTCTTATATAGCTCTCGAAGCATGTCTTATAGTAAGTCGAAGTTATCGTCGTCTAGTATATTATTCTTAATCTTATACTTAATCTAGAGGTTCTAATAGTAATAGACTAGCATCTCTACGACCTCTAAGGATAGTCGATTACGGCGGAGGTTAATAATAAAGCTATAAGCCGACTAGTTACGCTTAGTAGCGCTAGTTGTTAGACAGATAGATAGTACTAGTATATATAAGACAGACAGCTCCGGAAAGTAGTCTTTAACGAGGTTGTGCTACTATTGTAATAGAGTTATTGCCTTCGCAGAAGCCTATATAATAGAATTAGCAAAGACGCCTCTACGGTTATATAAGGTAAAGAGATTAGTAAGGAGACTAGCTATACGAGACTCGACCTCTAAGCGAGACTTAGGTATATACTTATAACTAGGCAGTAAGCTGCTTCGGCCTTGCCGGCGGCAATATATAGTTAAGAAGTCTATATAGGCGGTTAACTCTTCTATGCCGACAATAATGTCCTATCGTTAAGGGTGTTGTCGCTCCTTTGCGTTAGTAAGATAGGCGATAAGCATAATAGGCCTATATAGCTCCTTATATTACAAATCGATTATCTCTTCGAGTTCTTTATTACTAATAAAGGGGTTGTTCTAGGAGGTGTTATAAAGCTACTTAAAGCAACTATAGACATAAGATAATAGTAGTTTGTCGGCTTCGAGAGAGATAGTAACCTAAAGGAAGGGCTCTATTAGCTTAATATAGTTATCTAATTGCTTCTAGAAGTTACTACGCTTAGTAATCTAACAGACCGCCTACTAGGCTAACTTCTAAGAAGTACTAGCCTTGTTCTAGCCTTCTAGTAGGCGGTATTCTTATATACGAAGCTCTTAAATACAGTTGCGGTTCTCGAAGACCGCCTTTGCGTAGTATAGCTTACCCTACTAGCGGGTCTCTCCTAGTAACTAAAACTACCGTACCTTGCCCTTACTAATGTCTAATAGCAGTTCGAATAGCAGGAGGGTGTTCTTAAAGTAGTTAGATACCGCTAGTAGGCGCGTAAAGAACTCGTCGATAGTATAATATTAGTAAATATCGTCTATAAGAAGTTTAACTTTATAAGAACAGTACCTAATCGTAATAATTTTAGGTTTGTAAAGCCTAACCTATTTAGGGTTAGCGTATCTAACAGCCTAATAGATAAGCGTAGATAAGACGGAAAGGGGCGGTCTGCTTATAGCCTAGCGGGGGTCCGACTTCTATATTTAATCTTCGATATACCAATTTCGCTATAGCCGCTACAACATTCGCATTGTTAGCAGTTAAAGCAACTACTTTATCGCTATATAGCTCTATCGCCTTCCGAAGGCCTTTAGTATAGTGCTCTATAGTACTACGATAAATGCCGACTTTCTTAGAACCGACGAAGTATACCGCTCGAGGCGTAACTGCGAGATAGTTAGTATTCGACCTCCTACTATTATTAGTCTACCTATTAGTTACGAAAGTAATCCGATAGCTCTTCGAGATATTAGCTTCTATCTCCGCCTTTAATTCCTCGTAAATACGAGGCAGATACTTATATATAAGCTACTAGCGGGTCGGAGGTTTAAAGGCTAGTCTTAGTTTCTTTAACTATATAGCGAAGGTTAGATACTTAGTAATACTTAACTAGTTACTAGAGGCAAACACCTACTTAGTAACCCCCTTACAAGCATTCTTATAGTCTTCTAGAGTTATAAAGTCGATATAGCTATTATTGCTAATAATAAGGGTCGTTTACTATAGCCTAGGCGTAAAGGGCTCCTTATCTCTATTACTATCTAGTAGATTAGATACTAGCTTAATATCTAGATCTTTAGTAATAAGGTAAGGCTAATAGACAGGCTAGTGCTCTTCTAGTAACAACTTGCACTTCTTAAGATAGTAGATCGTCCGAGTCTTAGCGTTTAAATACTAGACATTACTATAGAAGTTATAAGTTACTAGAGGGTATGTCTTGCCTTAGATAATCTCTCGAGTAACGAGAGACTAATAGGCGTCTTTACTACGCTTACGCTTACTAAGAATAGCCTGTTATTATTAACTTAAAGACAAGCTATCGGACATAGTAATAGATAGCGGAGTTCGATAGAAATAGGTCTATATAAGAGATAGAATCTAATAGGCAGTCTACTATAGAAAGAGGAGGAATTCTATATACAAAATAGTCTATTATATCCTCTATAGATATATACTCTACGCTATTGTCGTTCCGCTAGAGATACGGCTCTTCCTTGTCTAATTTTTATTACCTAGCCCTCGTACTATTGCTATATCTCTAGCCCTTCTACTGCTTCTTAATCTATCGCATTTTGTATAGCAGTTAGTATAGCAAGCGCGATAGTAACGCGATAAAACGCGGTTCTCGTAGTGCTAATATAATACCTCTCGTAGGTAGTGCGAGGGCTAATAATATAGTGCGACTACTAGTAGTATAGTACGGCGGCTAGGTGCTAGCCGCTAGCGGCAGCGACCCTAATTAGTACTAATAACCTATAATTATAGGCCCTATAGGTGTATATAATACCTTCATTTCCGACCCCTATATATACCGTATAATATACATTGTATATACTATATACTAGATAGTGGGCTCCATTACTAGTCTTCGCGCATCGGAAGGCTATCAATTTTCCCCCGTTCTGGGCTAGCAAGGGTTTGGGCCAATTGAAAACTCGGCTTCACTGTTAAGCGTAAAAGTAATAGCCCTCCGATGCGCGAAGACGCTGTACCATGCATGGAAGATACGAATGCCGGAGGCCGTCGAAGCGCGAGACTTTCGGACGTGATATCTCGGTTACGCCTGGCTTTTACCTCTCCTTGCTTTTTTGGCTGACTGACCGGCTATGAAGAGTAATGGTGCAGAGACATGACTTGCCGATTTCGTGTTGCAGCTCAGCACCATCCATACTCGACCCGGACAGTAGTCGTCCGCCTTACTGTCATCACAGTGCGGAACTGGAGGTCTCGCATTCTTTAGAGATAGAGAGCATTGATGGGCCAAGCAAAGCATATCATCAACAGGGCAACCAAATTGGCACAAGGAACCTTGCAAAAGTAAGCAAGAGCCGCCTCTCAAGCGTGCTCGGAGATGCTCTCAACAAAATGATACCGCAGCAACAAGAACTACTACTGGAGAAACCCTAAGTAGCCAGCAATGGGGTCCATACCTTGAGTTTACCCCAGATACCAATATCCTCCACTCTCTCCACTTCTCCACGTTTCACACTCGAGACTGCTCAGCATTGCTGTTGTGAGGAGACTCGGTAAGGATGATACCTCTGTCCACTTTCCATCTCGCATTCAGCAGTAGAACCTGGCAGCTCACTCGCCGGCCGTTGCCTCTCTCTTTCATTCGTGGCATAACTCGGTGGAGCTGGAGAGTAGGGAGGCTGTGGCAAATATGGCGAGGAAGGTTGATAGTAGCCTGCCAGACGTCAGCAAGAAAGGAAGAAACGAGTCGGTGAAGTCTTGGCTCACTTGTAGGCTCCTGCTTGGTCGTCTTTTCTCTGCTCTCGTGTGGTTGCTGTAATTCTCTTGCTTGGTGAAGTGGGACTGAAGAAGAGGGAGAAGAACAACGTTTTCGACGGAGCAGCCAGACGAGTCCAAAGACTAGCGCTGCGAGAATTGCAAGACCGCCAACTACGCCTCCTGTTATGGCTCCGGCTGGACTGGCACGCTGAGATGATGCCACAGACTAAGAAGCTGTCGAAGACGCCGTAGCTGATGTTTCGGTCACGAGCGTTGACATTGATGCCCCAGAACTTGTGACAGCAGAGCTACTTGTCGTACTCGACGGAGCAGAAGCAGCAGAAATTACCGCCGCCCCATTCAAAGCCTCGAAAGCCGCCGCATTATTTGGATCTTTACTCAGATACGCTCCAGCCCTGAGCCAAATGCCCATTAGAACACCCAGAATTACAAGGATTAGATTTACAGCAGCCCCAGAATGGTGGTGTTGTGTCTCGGCGTGTCCAGAACTGTCCTGCGTCGCATTCCTGATCTGAGTATTGTCCGTATTGAGACTAAGGGAGGCAAGCCAGTAAGTTCATGAACGATTCGTAATAGTGGGATTCACTTACGGATTCGAAAGATGCTGCGTAAAGATTTTCCGCTGGACAACCAGTACTGCCGCAAGCATTCGAGGCACAGCAACCGACGAACTTGCTGTCATTGAGGCAGGCGTAGAAGGTGCCTCCTGAAGGACAGGACATGGAGGGTGGTGTAGACATTGTTCAATATTATTTCGTGGTGTAGGTCAGTAGTGTGAGAGAAAGTGGGAAGCAAACAATGCTTTTCATACGAAGCACAAAATGGCCGCCTTCATGCGGCCTCTCCAATCTTGTGCGTCGCGAACCTTTCCGGCCTCGACCTACCTTGGGCTCGTATCTACTGCAGAGAGGCTGTACTCGCAAGCAGAGAAGCAACAGATTTGGTTATCGGCTTGCACTAGGTGGTGGCCTAGATATTGGAGGGTGCCAATTGTCCCGGTCGTGCAGTAAGGCTGCCAAGTATAAATCATGCCGACAAATGTCTAGAAGAAGAGGTTTTGTGAGTGAGCCGAGAATCCAAAGTCTCCCAGACCCGATCCACAAGTATTTTGTCGGATATCTCAGCATAACCGAAACTCCAAGACCTAACGAAGGCCATGCAGCCCAGATGCCGATGAGTGAAAATCGTGAAGATGATGTTGAGCTGCCAAGCCTTCCTGTCCGGCGGTCCTGACAACAGTGCGGCAGTGCAGACTGCAGAGATGAAAGGCGTGGTCAAAGTTCGAACGTAAAGTCTACACGCCTGTGGATAGCACGAGAATACAGCTTCATATGCCAGCTGCAACACGTCGTTGTTGCTGATATGGGTGACATAGATAGTGATCTTCCTTTCAGCTTCGAGACGCGTCTACTGCAGAAGCTTCCATGATTAGATCGACACCGCGAAGTCGAAGTCTCCGTACCGTTCTGGCGATGTCGATGAAAGAGTAGCGGTATTTCACGTGGAGGACGTAGGGAGTGAACCAAAGCAAACATTATCAAAGCAGGAAAGGCGAAAGCTCGGGCCGGAATTGCAGCCTGCCCCGCCATGTGGCATCGATATCGACATCGACATCACTGCTGAATCAACAACACTTCTGTGTTTCTTCCCTCTAAAGACAAACACTTGGATCGCTGATTCCTCCACCTCGACCGCTGTCTCTACTACACCTAAGCGCCCTCAGAGCACATCCGCGACAACATCGTCAAAATGCAGATCAAGTAAGGCTACCATTACGGTCATCATTCAAAATCCAACGCGATTGCTAACCATCTCGTCAACGGCACAGAGTCCGTACCCTCACCGGCAAAGAGATCGAACTGAACATCGAGCCCGACGACAGAGTTTCGAAAATCAAGGAAAAGGTCGAGGAGAAGGAAGGCATCCCACCCGTCCAACAACGCTTGATCTTTGGCGGCAAGCAGATGTAAGACAGACACACGCCCATATACCAGAGTTTGAAGACGAGAAGAATTTGGCTGACGCGATGTGGGGGCTCAAACAGGAACGACGACAAGACCGCAGCAGAATACAACCTCGAAGGCGGCGCGACTCTACACTTGGTTCTTGCCCTCCGTGGTGGGCAATCTTCTTGCTGAAAGCAGTCTTTGCTGACGGTGAGAATTACCTGAAAGATGATCTGCCCGCTGCGATGGCTACGCGCGCAAGAACAGGCTCGAGAAGAGGAGCGACTGCAGACCGAGCGACGGAAGGTCAGAAGGGCAAGACTTCGGAAACATGTCTATCGACGAGTGAGGAAAGAGCAATGGAGGTTGATCGTGCGATTGAGCAAAATTTGAGCTCCTAGCCTGAAGGACGATGCATTTGCAACGAGCTAGGAAATGACTTCCAAGACTTCTCGATTAGACCTGAGATACCACGAACAAGACACGATTAGCGCGCATGCGCTGATGAGCAGCAGATACACCTTCATTGCCCCGTTTTCGCTGTCACACGAACAGGTTGAGAGCGTTGAGCCTACGCGGAAAAGCATGAATGTGCTTGGAAACCTCTTTTGACGACTGACCTTGCAAGCAGGAGACAAAGGCACAAGATTATTGACATCTGAGTAGGCATCAGAAATCTGCGATTCATAACTGCGGTATCATCTACACCCAAAACAGCACACATTCCTCAATCCCACCACGTTCGCTCATTGCATACAAAACGCCAGGAACACCAAACAAACCAAGATCCATCATCACCATTTCATCATCCCATACATTCTACGCCACACCGGTAACCCTCCTGATACTCCTCCTAGGTCCCTCCCCAATAACCTGCACCTTCCCCTCCGCCTCCAAAGCCCTCACAGCCTCAGCAAACTCCTGCCCTTCAACCGGCACAGAACTCTGCTCCGAAAGCGTTCTCACAACATCACCATACCTAACACTCGAATTCCCACCCCTAAGCAACTCATCCAAAACCGAAACAACCCCATTCTTCAAATCCTCCTTCCTCTTCCTCTCACTCGCAGAAGTCCCCTCGGTCAAAAGACCCATATCGATAAGACCAGTTCTTGCATCTGTGGCAGCTTGTTTCAAAGCGGATTGGATAAGACGAACGGCTTCTTCTACATCTTCTTCGGAGACGGTGGAGCTGAGACGCATTTTTGCGTGGGCTTCGGAGAGACGAATCATGGATTCGAGTTGACGGGTTGTGGCTGTGATGCGACGTTCTGAGGCACGAATGTCTTCGCCGAGTTTTCGCATCGCGACGTAGTGGCGGACGAGAGCATCGGCGGCGGGTTGAGAGATTTTGGGGTGGATGTTGGTGCGGGCGTAGGAGATGTAGGACGTGAGGAACTCGACGGGCTAGAGGGGAGGTTAGCAAGAGACTCGAAAGAGTTGTGGCATCGACAGGACTTACCAAGACCTCATCCCGGCTGGCATTCTCTGGAGTGTCTTCGAGATACATGCCAACCAAATGTCTTGCCAGCTTACGATCAGTGCTCTCGTCAATGCGATCTAGCACAAGGTAGACGAGATCAAATCTGGAAAGGAGCGTTGGTGGCAGATCGATGTTTTGCGGCACAGGAAGGTTGACGTTGTACTTGCTGCCAATGGGGTTGGCAGAAGCAAGAATCGATGTTCGAGCGTTGAGAGTGGTAATAATGCCAGCCTTGGCAATCGAGACCGTCTGCTGTTCCATGACTTCGTGGAGGACCGAGCGGGTGCTGTCGGACATCTTGTCGAATTCGTCGATGCAGCAGACACCTCCATCAGACAGGACGAGCGCACCGGATTCGAGAACAAGTGATCTGGTTTCCGGATCGCGAGTCACATAGGCTGTCAGACCCACAGCCGAGGAACCTTTTCCAGAAGTGTACACACCGCGAGGAGCGATTTTGTGGATGTACTCCAGCATCTTCGATTTCGACGTGGAGGGATCACCGCACAGCAAGACATTGATGTCACCTCTGTACTTCGGCGATCCTCCCTTTTCGAAACTCTTGTTTGTACCGCCGAAAAGCTGGAGGAGAATTCCTTTCTTCACATCATCCATCTCGTAGATCGAGGGAGCCAGCGATCGTGCCAGAAGCTCGTAGACGTCAGGTCTTGAAGCGACCTCCTTGATTCGCTCCTCCTCCTCTTCGCTGACTTTTCGGACTTCTTCCGTGCTTCCAGCGGCCTGCTCCGCAAGTTGCTCTTCGATTGTGCTTGGATCGATGCCCATGCGGCGCTTGTCCACTTTCTGGATGTGCAAGCAGTCCACGTATGTCTTGAAGATGTTCTTGACAGTTCGTTGATGTGGGTTCACGCGAACCTGGTTGCACTTGAAGACGCCCGTAATTTCGACACGATCACCAGCCTTGCAAATGTCGACCAGCTCATCGTAAGCACACAAGCTGACGGAATGTGGAGTCTGTCCATCTGGAACAGAGTCTGGGGTCTCCTGTAGCTTGATGACTTGCTTGTCTGCGAACCCAGATCGGTTGTGCACGATTTGCATGCTGTTGCTAGCGCTGCATACTTCTCTTGGACAACGAGTGGGTTCGGCAATCTTGCCACGGTCGAGGTCAACCTTGACGGTATGATGGCAGACGGAGCAGCGGAAGAATGCGTCCTTCATGTCTGGGATGATTGGGGTTGTCCTAATGACCAAGCCCTTGACTGACACCAGCTGGTCCATGTCCTTCGGGTCGAGGTCTCGCAGATTGATGTTCTTATCGAGACCAAATGGTCGCACGCGGTAAGATGAGCTCTCCACCTCTGCATACAAGTCTTGCTCATCTGCGGAGGGCTGTGGGGCTGGTCGTGGTGTTGCACCGCCATTCATATCATTGTCGAGGTCTGAGCTGGGCATGGGTGGCATCGAGCTTGATCGATCTGTGCGACCATTCTGAGATGGTTGTGATCTCCGCTCGCCCATCTTCTTCTCAGCAAGCTCCATCAGGGTGTCCTTGATGGCGCCATCAATCAAGGGAACGATCTCACTTGGATAAGATTGCAATTGATGGTACAGCTTCTTCGTGCCTGGATATGCCTTGAGATCTTTGCAGTCCAAGTAGAAGCACTTCGTCCCAAGTTCCAGCATAGTCTCGCACTGAGCAAGAGCTGGCTTCTCGAGACCTGGATGCTCGTTGTCCAAGCTCTCGCCTTCCGTGAGTTCTCCATCTTGGACCATGCGATACTTCTTTTGAAAGTTGAACACGAAGTCCTTGAAAGCTGACCAAGAATCTTGCACGGAAATGTTTGTACCCCAAATGAATCTTGTGCCACGGCCGCCAAGCGCAGCAGCATCTGATGTGTTTGGGTTCAGATTCGAAAATGTGGCTGCGTCCGAAGGGTCGATTGGGACTGGAGCACCATTTTCGTCCACAAAAAGCTGTCGTCGCCTGGTTGAGCTGTCTAGCAAATCTGAATTGATGTCATGCCTCCTTTCTCTTGCGCTGGGCTGGCTTCCGAGACCAGATCGTACGAAAAGACCAGTCGAACTCGTTCCGTGCTGTCTGTTACCATTCGATCTGGGTCCTGCAGCATCCGAGCTTGTGGCGTAGTGAATTGGAGAGGAGTCTGCGAACGTTATCAGTGCTTTGCTCTTGCGCAAAAGTTTCCCTAGTTCTGCTCACCGCCAATGTTTGCTCCGTTTGCTCTAGGAGTTCTGCCACCTTCACTACTCAGACCAGCTGGAGTTTGGGCATCAGATCTCTGTCTGAGCGGACTGCTTCCATTGACGCTGCCTCTGGCCGGCACGCCTAAGCTCTGGCTCTGCGATTGACTCTGACTCCCAGCTGGCGAACTGCGGAAGAAGAGCGGGCTGCTTGTGGGAGGTGCTTGAGATTGTGAGTTGCTATTTTGAGTGCCTATTGGTGTTCCATTCCGGCTCGATGCTGCGCCTGCCTCGCTCTGGAGTTGTGAGTTTGCAGCATCTTCGTCTGGCTGAGGGGGATCGCTCGGTGGTGCAGCGGACGATCGCGGTGCCTGAGAACCACGTTGAGAGCGGCGAGGTGTGTTGTTGTTTGATCGTGTTGATCGTCTTGATGCTGGTGATGAGTCTGCCATTTTGTCTTTGAGCTTAAGAAAGTGGCAGCTCGTGGTGATCGTGAGAAGGGGCAGTATCGCAGAAGCAGACGCGAAAAGCTCACGCGAACGCGTCGCGCTAGTAAATTGAAACCTTAATTCGCCAAGGTGCCGATAGAGGTATCGTATCGTAGTTCATCATGCTCGGACTGCTCTACGCAATATCAAGTCTATCTCTGAACCCGCGATCGAAACAGTGACAGCGACAACCAGGACTCACCATGCCGGCACCCTCGCAGCTCGCGATCGCTACCTCAGCGCTCAATCGTCTCGTGAAAGAAGAGGCTTCTTACCACCAAGAGAAGAAGGCGCAAGAAGCCCGCATTGCCAAGCTCGAAGTAGAGCAAAGCAACGATGAGAATGCTGAATACACACTGAGGCAAGAGGTGAGTTGAGTCGAAGTAGTAGTAGCATTTCGGGTATCTGGTCATGATTCTCTCATCGCATCTATGCTACATTCATGCCCATGTCCTGTTCAACTCCATCCATGCCAAACTGAATGCTGCTAATTGTACAATACTTGTTACAGCGCAAAGCTCTCGAGGAGACCAACGCTATGTTCCCACAACTCAAGCAGAAGATTGAGGATGCCAAGGCTAAGCTTGAAGCTCGGCTGGTAAGTATATCCACTTTGTAATTTCTGCGACTGTGTGATGCTTGAAGTAGTTCTGACACTCTTGCAGGAGCAAGACAAAGGTCCTAGTGATCACAGCTCGCCAGAAGATATCACCAAGGCCAAGGAAGCAATTGCTGCGGCCCTTGGTGCCATTCGAGAGTCGTCATGAGAAGTGGTGTGTGATAATGCTGGGTGATGAGGCCATTCTGCGGCCTGCTGATTGTGTAAATGCGTCGAGAAAGGATGATCTGTTAATATCGACCACTGTGGTCTGTATATGCACTACTTGGTGCTTTTCGGTGAAATTGATGCTTTCCTCATCGTTTAATGATCTTCTTCGGCTTTGGTGCGAAGATGCTGCTTGGAGCTGGGCGCTTTCTAATGCCGGACGGATTCTGTGGCGGGCTCGCCGATGGACTAGTTCGCTTTGGTGGTGACATGCTTGGCTCCTTGGCAACTGGTCTGCCGTTGACATAGGTGCTCGGGACCGAGTATTTGACCGGAGTGGTCTGGGAAATGGCCTCAGTCGATGGCACAGGAGCAGGTGTTTCAAAGTCGAACTTCTTCTCTGGTGGAGCGGCGCGTGCTTTGTCATTCTCGGACTTGGTGAGCTGTCGGAGTCTGGCCTCATCGATCTCACGAGCTTTGCGCACGGCCATTTCATTGCGTTTCTGTACTGCTTCCGCGTACTTGACGTTGGCAACCTTGCCTGGTGCGTGAATCTTGACGTTTGCGTTCATTTTCTTACGGTCTCTGAGCATCTCCTTCTCATGTGGTAGTAGCTCTCGTGGTGCAAACTCTAGTGGTGTCTTGCGGGCGATGTCGCGGATCATGCTCTGCGGTGCTTGCTTGATTTGGCGCGATGCTTGTGTGGCCTTCCATGGCTGGGCGATCTGCATCTGCCGTGAGTTCGAGGCAGCTTGACGGCGCATGGCAGCAATAGCCTCGTGGCCAGTCTTGGCGGTCTTGACAGTTGGTGGCTTCTTTGCCAAGCCGCTTGAGTTCTTGTTGCGGACGCCGTCGACATACAGGGTCGTCTCCTTCTCATCACGTGCATGTGCCATGACACCAGGCACAAATAGCGCCTGCTTTTCGGCCTTCTGAACCTTTTGACCAAGCAGCTGCTGGCGAAGCTCTTCTTCCTGCTCTTTCTCCTTGTCGGCTTGCTTGCGCATCAACATCCTGTAGACCTTATACCAGCTGGCAGGGTTGTTTGGGTAGGCCATCTTCTCTTCGTCATCAGCAATCTCGCGAATGTCGCGGCGGATGAAGCTCTGCCAAAGGGTAGCGTTCTCGCCAGACTCGGCGTAAGAGGGGTTGTTGATCTCGATTTCGCGGAGCTGCTGTGGGCTCTCGACCTTCTTGAGGATTGGCATGGCCATTTCTTGTGGTATGCCGTCAAAGTCGGTAATGCTAGCAACGTGTCGTTGGGCACAGCGAATTGCTATAGCGAAAAGTGTTGGTACGGGCATGTTGAAAGTAGGCGCTGCGGACAGCTCTTGTAATTCCTGTGCGGTGGCTGGAGGAGCGGGCAGAAATGGCCGTGCGTGGCTATTGTTCGAGTGAAGTGACGAAGTGAAGAAGTGACAATAGGCGGTGGAGCGGTCAACTCTCATTCACCGTGAGGACAGTCCTCAGCCAGCCCGAAGTCCGTTGAATCCGGCGGTATTGGCTGGAATAACTGCAGTCTTGGCTCTATTGCTATACGTCCAGTCCAGTACATGGTTATATAGAGTGACAGCGAGCGTGTAGGTTGTGAGACTGGTGCTCATTCTTCGTGAACGCAGATAAAGGAAGCGAAGTCGTGAATGACGGTTGAAGTCGTCCAAGCTCCGTGCACGTGGCAGAACCTTAAATCCCTGCTCATCCTGGAACAGCAGGCGCGTATCTCTCACAACATGAACGAAGACTGTACATCCTACACGCGACCCAAGGTCTACCGGAGCGATACATAACACACTCAAGGAGATACGTCGAAGTATGGTGTTGAGGCATTCCAACTATACAGTTCCAAACCAGAACATTCTTGCTGCAATGCTCAAACACACACACACTTCAAGCTTTCTCTGACGATCTGAGGAAAGTGAACGTAGATCTGTTCCAACAAGCCATTCTACATGTGGACTTCCCGCACTGCAAGGGTGAACTTGCCATCTCCATGCTTCTCAAGTGTACCTGTGACCTTCAAAGTGCTACGACCGTCAAGGTCAACCACCGCGAGTAGCTGCGCGTATGCTTGGGCTTCCTCCTGCTTGATTGGCTTGGGCATACCAGCTTTGAAGTCGTACCGAATATTGCTACTTTGCTGGTAAGGCACAAGTACGACCTCCGGCCTGGTCTTCTCAGCGACCAGAAGCAATTGTCCAGATTGATCCTTTGCGTCAACCTTCCTCGTCACTGTACCGGAGATTGTTACCTCTATACCCCGCATTTCGTATGAGCTGCGCGCGATGCTGGAGAACTCTCGACGCCAGACATCAAGTTCTGGCAGGCTGTCATCATTCTTAAGATAAACGAACGCAATAGAGTCGGCCTGGCTCGGAGCCGGGCGCACAGTCTTGATGTCGCTAATATGCTGTAGCGCCTCGAAGGCTCCGCCCCAACATGGGCCCAGACCGTAGGGACAAATTGGTGTCAGTCCTATCAATGTCATTGGCTGGTCGTGTTGTTCCATGATCTTCTGATCCAACTCCAGCAGACTAATGGCCGGTTGCTCAGCCATTCGCGCGCGTTGCATCAAGGTAGTCGTTGGCTTGGATGTTGGTAAGTTGATTTGCACGATCGGTGCAACACATGGCACGCCTCTCTCATTCATTACGAAGAGCATATAGTGACCTGGCGGCGCGATGTTGGGATTCGCCGGACCTGCTAGCTGCACGCTCGTTCCAGTCTGGTTAGGAACCAGCTTCACTCGAAGCTGGTTCATATTGGTGGTGTGCGTGACAGATCCAAGTCTCATCAAGCTCGCTTGCTTGATGTTATCTTTCGCACCAACAGTGATGGTGAAGCTCTTGCCATACTCAATGGTCGGTAGCGGCTTCTGAATGTTAGGTCGGTCGACTCCCAAACATAGGTATGGTGGCGAAAAGAGTTGCGCATTAGTGAGTGTGTTTGAAGCTCGGGCTCCGATTGCATCGCCGTATTCTCCACCAGATGCTGACAAGACTTGGCCATTTGGGAGCAGCAGTGCGATTGAATGGTAGCAACGATCGTGTACCTCTTCCGCCATCGTTGCCCACCCTTTAGACTCACTCCACAGCTCGGCTTTGTGTACAGTCATACCAGGTGTCAGGTCGTTGAAGCCAGGTGGATTCGAGAAGCCTCCAGCTCCACTTGAGCCACCAGTGACCAATACACTGCCATCCGGCAGCACAGTAGCGTTGTGCTGACGGCGAGCGTATTGCATGTCGTTCGAGGGGACCCATGCCAGCTTGTCCTTGGTCAAGTCCATGATCTCGGTCTTCTTGATAGGAGGATTTCCTCCGCCAGTCCAGAGAACTTTTCCATCTTCGTACATTGCGGACGAACCATACTCACAAGCTCCTCCAGATCGCATTGACCCTGGGAACTCCCAAGCTATAGTCCTATTGTTGTTCACGTTCGCATCCAAGTTGATCAACAGTGATTCTGCTTGCGGACCGGCTATGAAGATGCGTCCTTTAGGATCTAGGTGCAGTTTCGGGTACAAGGGAATAACCCTGCCTGGAGGGCTCGGCGCAGTGACCCAAGAGACCGACGGAGAAGCTTTCACAGTTGGATCAGGATGAAGTATCTGTGGAATATTGCTGATATATCTGCCAGTGGCCCAGTCAGACTGGGCCATTGGTATGTGACTTCCTGAAATGACCAAGGCACTGCCATCTGGCAAGGTCAGGACTGAGGGATACCTGCACAGCAGCACGCGAAGGTCAGCAAGGCACGAAATAATTTAGGCCGCAAATTTATCGCTGTCTCACCATCGTCCATCATTCATTTTTGGCAGTGATATCCATTTATTGCTGAGGTAGTCGTAAGTACAGGCTTGATCAATGCCAAGCCCGTCTTCCTTGTGGCCTCCAGTAATGAGCAGACTCCCATCCGGTTGAAGGCAATGACCTGAGCAGAACAGGTTAAGGTTGTCCAGAAATTGTGGCGCATCCTTGATATCTTGGTCGGGAGAACTGTTCTTGATGAGCTTGCTTTCGTCAACCAGGAAGTTATCCTTTGGAGAAAATGGTAGATCAATGAAGAAAGGTCTCGTAAATTGCTCGTCGAGATTTAGGGCTTTAGGATCGTTGGGGTTCGCACGCCTACCCCAGCAAAGAATTCTGCCATTTGGCAGCAAAGAAGCGTGAACGGCGACTCTGCGCGTGTCAAACACAGTGCCCCATTTTCCGACGTCTTTCTCAGTGGCCATTGCTGCTCTGGATTGTTAAACAATATGATGGAATATGCGAAACAAACAGCTTGCTGAACGACGCTGTAATGAGTGGAGTGGATGTGGCAGCTCACACAGCTCATATGTGTTCTCAACCATGACCCTGCTACCTCTTCGCTTCCACACGTTCCAAGCTGGTCTCCTCACTGCTTTGCCCGAGGGATTGAGAGCTGTTGAGATCCATCGCTGCTTCCGTGGCATGACCGCTTGTGTCTCACAGCCCCCGATACCAGTAATTCAACATTTCTTGAAGCGATACCATAGGATGAATATGCAGTAAGCAGAAACCTGCATGGTTCAAGCTTTCCCTTCGTGATTCAGAATCGAGTAGCCAATACAGCCGCGTCTATCTCAAGCCATGCTGTGAGTAGCAAAGCTGACGCTGCAACATGTGCAAGCGCGAGGAGCATAGAAGCCTGGTCTTTGTCACAGAGGAGCAGGGCAAGCTTCGAGGCGAAAGCTTGCCATGAATGTGCGTGGCTAGACCAGTTCTATCAGTATGAGCTCTGGAAGCTCGCGCTGCCATATGCAAACTCTCAGCCAGCCATGAATGAGATGGCTGAATACACTTCGCGTGCTGTATGCGTGGCGCATCATTCGATCGACCCGCTCAAGATCTTGATTGTGAACCCAGGCAAATATTATGCTTCGACTTCCTTCTATAGCATCTTCGGAAGGTGAGGCTGGTTAGCTGGTGGCCTCTATGGAACGTGGTAGTAAGTTGTATGTCAAGATGGGAAATGTGGAAGTCTCACGGTGTCCATGAAATGATGAAAGCAGATCAAGGAGCTCGGACTCCCATGCGCGGCTAGTCTAAACCTAATTTATGATGCTTGCAATTCAGGAACGCAGATGTGCACAGCGGTGACTATTGGGTGCGACAAGTCTTTCTCCATCAACTGCGCAATCCAAGTATATACCGCCACGTCATCGCGAACGAGATTGTCGAGATGGCAGAATTCGAAGACGTGCCGCTGACCTACCTGCCGAACGCTGAAGAAGGTATACGCCATGCGCAGAGCCAGATATTTCGTTGTGTGCTACGCTAATGACAACGCTGTTCAGATGCACTACACGCAAGTCGCATGCTGACCGTCGAAGAGCGAGCCTTCCAGCGTGTAACCAAGCAGCTCCTGAGCGAAAAGTCCGTCCTCAAGCCCGCGCTGTCGTATTTACCGTCACCTCCGCCTGAAGGAGAGGGCGAGCCACCTCTCTACGATCCTGCACGAGTGGAGCGCTTCCGCGAAGATGTGCTGCTGGACTTTGCGAATCTCGAAAGCAGCATCATTCGCATACAGTTGATCTTGTCATCAAACCAACGCGAAAGAGAACGATATGCCGCCGAAAAGGCCAAAATCTTGGAGACAGCGCAGGCTGTGCGTGACAATACGCTAGAGCTGCGGTCGCACCTTCAGGAAGCGCAGCAGGTGTTGGAGAGGCGCAAAGGCTATGATGAAATGGCTACTAAGATTCTGGATGATCGCAAACTCAAGAGTCGCGACGATGCGAAGGCGGACATCGAGAAGCTCGAGAAGGAGATCGAAGACCTTCAGCAGGAAAGTGTGGACTATGAAGGAACCTGGATATCAAGAAGAGAACAGTTCGACATGGTAGTACGCGAGGGAGAGGCTATGATCAGGCAGATCAAAGGGATCAAGGACGAGCCTGAGCCAGAGAAGGACGAGAATATGGACGATGCCGACGATGGACCCAAAGATGAGACTAGTGGCCGAAACACACCTATCCAGGATGGTCGTTCGCCGCGACCAACCGACGCTGGAGATGCGACACCGCTACCAGAAAGTGGTGAAGATGGTACTCCCGCTCGACCGACGAATAAGTTCCTCGAGGTCGAGGATGCAATACGTCCAGGCAGTCGCATGTCTTCGCCTCTTGCTCGGCCAGCTTCTATGCCCGACGATGTGGACATGGCCGAGACACCTCTCGCAGGGTCTGTTGGTGCAGAGCTCGAGCGCGGTAAAGTCGACGAGAGTATGGAAGTGTCTGCAGATCAGACCGCCGCTGCCACGCCATCTGCTGATAATGTGGAGACTATGGATGAGACGTGAAAAGGGCGTCGATCCAGCATTTCACGATAGGCCGAGTCAAATAGAGCTCTCTGCGCAGCTATACCGCTGCTGGGCAAAAACCAGGCTATCTTTTAGTCATCAGCCGCCCTTCTCATGTACTGCCAACATTTGCATCAATTCATCTTCGGCAGCGCCCTTTGAATACCAAATGCGCCACAGGGAACATCAGACTGCTCACGGAAACAAAAACGTAAGGCAAGCCATAAGACCGTTGGCCGGCAACGTCTCTCGACTGAGTCCCAAATACAGATCGAACGAATAAACACCACGACCATGTGCCCACCAACTTCACATACCCAACCAACCTCATCTCCCTCAAACGCCAATCCACCCACCACAAATCTCTCATCCCCTCCGACCAAATCTCCCAGACCGCCTATCACCACTCCACCCAAGAACTCCACTCCTCAATCCTAAACCATAGCTTACGGTCAAACTTCATCCCAGGAATCCCTCCCACACTCCAGCAACCCGCATTTCCAGACTTCTCCTCTTCATAGCCTTGCCTCTTCCACGACACATGAACTTCATGAACCTATAATACCGGTCCCCTCCGATTCGAAGACGCAGCAGTCAAATTCCTCTCGCAGTATCCGGAAAAGGTTTAGAGTGAGGCTCAGAAACAAGATGTTCTGGACCGCGATCGCAATCCATGGGACTCCGCAGATAGCGGAGAGGATTTCGAGTTTGTCCGGATTTTGTTTTTGAGGTTGGGTGTTTTTGATTGATTTTAAAGGGTTAGGATTTGTTCGGGGATGGTGTCGACACGGTATGTCAGCTCGCAGTCTACGGTTTCTATTGACCGGGCTCTGGTTCGAATCCAGGCGTGGTGAGGAAATTTGAGGCACTTTTGCCAAGAGATGATGTTGAGAAAGACGTTGTGGTTGCACAAGCGATACGTGAAGTCTAAGGCAAACAGAAATCGAAGCCATGAATAGAAGGCAGAGCATCGTAGAGTATCGCAGAGCATCACATCACATCATCATTGCAGCCAACTACACTAGGACAAATGGTATCCCATAGCTACAACAGTCTTGGTCTCATCACAAGTCATATCAGACAGCCTCTCCAGCTTTTCGTGTCGTTTCATCCCAACTGAACGTCCCTAGTCATAGTTTACTCAGAGCTTGCTTGATACATTCGTATCGACCGCGTAGCATTTCGCCTCTTTCACCTGCTGTGGATCGTTTAGTAGAACGCTCTTGTTGAACTCCTGGTTGCTGGGAGGCACATCGAGAGCCGGGTTCTTGTCGAAGAAGTTGACTGGCTTGAAGGCGACCTTGATGATCTCGCAAGGCATGACTGGGAAGTCTTCGATGCGAGGAATGTGGTTGATGCCGAACTGGACGAAGACGACGAAATCCTCGTCCACAATGTTCTCCTTACGATTGGCCCAGCTACGAACGCCAGTACCACCTCTCGACTGATTGGTGTACTTGCCACCAGCGTAAAGCTCGCCATCGCGATACTTGACAGCATAGATGTTCTTGTCAGCGAACTCTGCACGCTTGTGGTTGAAGCTCTCCATGTCAGACAACATCTTCTGAAATGGTGGCGCGTGGATCTTGTACGCGACGGGCTTGCCATTGATTGGATTGCGAACATCGACGTTTTGTATCTTGAAGGTTCGGTTGGCTGCGTAGTCGATGTCGTAACCACCACTTGTCTCGACGAGAGTCTCTTTCGAGATGTAGCCTGTACCGTGGGGGTTGAAGTCGCTGCGAGGCATAGCGTGAGCCTCTTCATAGACCAGTCGGTTGTGGTAGCCGTCAATGGCAGGGTCAACCCGAAGCGAGAAGATGTGTTGATGGTGAGTCGCTAGGACACCTGGATGTACGACAGTGCCCCAAGGTACCTCAAGGCCGTCATCAATAGGCTGCGTGGAAAGGATGCCAGTGGCCCGCACCTCGTAAGCCAGCTCACCAGCCTGGTTGAACACGAACGCCATGATATATTCGTAGTTCGACACAGTGATGATGGACTGTACGACAAGCTCGCGGTTTCGGACGACAGCAGCACGACCTGTTCTATAGTTGGTGTGCTTCCAACCGATCCCGTTGTCTTGTTCGTGAATGCAGACGACGTTGGGCATCTCGAGTGGATTGCCTTTGTCATCAGAAAGAGTCGCTGACAGATAGTGAATCGAACCGAGACAATCACATCCAAGCTTCAGGTCGTTTGCCATGATTCCTGCACCAACATCGCCAAGATCGAATGCTGCCTTCTTGTGGTAAGGGTGACGCGGGTCGGCATACGGGATGTTCATGTCGGACAATGCCAGACGATAGAAGAGGTTGCGGCCAGCGTAGCGCACATCATAGATGACCATGCCCTCACGTTGGTTGAAGCCAACTCTGAAAGACCACTTCTGCCATTTGATGATGTTGGAAGTTCCCTGCTGCTGAACGTTGAAGCTAGCGCCCTCTGGCTGTACGACCTGAAGCGGCCTCAGATCGGTTCGCAGCTTCTGGTACTCTGGCAGGTACTCGTTGCCAGGGATGTTGTGATTGTACTTCTTGAGTCCAGAGACCGTGCTGTCCGCGCCAGTTGGCATGATATCTATCCTGATCACCTTCCTGGTCAGGTCCGAGATGACAGGTGAAATGTTCAACGGAAACGCGTAGTGGTTTGAATCTGGCTCCTCCGAGTTGTGTGGATCACGTGTGTAGAGGAAGCATTGCCACATTCTCTCGTCGTCGTAGATGCCGTCCGAGCCGTAAATCCAAGGGTCTACCACAACCTTGGTGCCTTCAGGAAGGTTGAGTTTCGCAAGCTCAGCCTGTACAGCTTCATCTGCAAGTGCGATGCGTTCCATAGCGACGACCTCTTCGCCATCACCAGGAGCGTGCATGTTTGGACCTAGTCGGATATTGTACTCAACCTGCTGCGTACTGAGATTCACAACGGCCTCATGGAACTTGTTCTGAGGCAGCGTTAGTGCTGCGCGGCTCGCATAAGACCGGAGCCGAAGTCAACGTACAGTTTGTCTGAGATAGTATGTCACGAAGACCTTTCGATCGATGTGCGGCAAGTCCGCTCCGGCGAAGTCGGCCTCAAGATACGGAACCATCTCAGCCTTTGGAGGCTCGTTCAGTGTGATGGCTTTGAAATGAAGATCGGTTCCTTGCGGCCATTGTGCTTGAAGCAGTGCGACAGCGTTCTGAATCTCGCCAGCGTCTATTGGGTTTTGTGGGTGGACGGCAGTGTGCTTGCCCGCTGTTGACAAAGGTCAGCAAATGATGCTCAAGGTCCTGGCCACTTCGGCTTTGGATGGTGATGACTGGCTCTACACCACGATCTGCAGGCCTTGGCCATGCTGATATTGACTTACTTCGAACGGGAAGCGCCTTCGACGCTGTCTCAGTTGCCATTGTGGCGTTTTTCTGTATGCGAATGTTCTAGATCAGGTGTTCGTGCTGAGGTTGTAATAGAAGTGACTCAAGTCTTGTCCCTCCGAATTTAGGCTTCACAACGGTTTGTGGATCTTGTGAAAGTAGGGAAAGAAGTGAAGCAGATGTAGTGAAGATAACGGCCAGAGCGAGGGAAGTAGCGGCCCTATTTTATACATCCCCGGGAGGGAAGGAGCATTGGTGTAGAACTATGATGTGGGGCTTCGGCACGCAAAGGGCGTGTGAGAGTTGGCCGCGACCTCTCGAGATGCTCTCCTCGAACCGCTGATGGCCCAGTGTTCGGTATCACGATGCGGACTTTCTCAGTGCGCAGTGCGCGGTGCGCGGTGCGCGGTCGAAGTGTCAGGTGTGCCAGGTGTGCCCCTGCCCCTGCCCCTCAGCAAAATCCGAAGGAAGCTCACTTGGAAGTTCTACCACCTTTGGCAGGTGCATGCGAGCAAATCATATTCCCTGCCTGCTTGGCCGGCGCGCAGCTGGACAACGACACAGTCAACAGTCTGGTTTGGGATGTCCTGGCCTGGATTACAACCACGAATACCGAGCGCCTTCCCTCGATCCCCATCCAGTATTTTCAAGTCCATGATCTTGGCAGTGCAGTATGATGAATGAGGGCAACATGCCAGTCAGCAAGCGTACGTACACGTACAGCTCTCCCTCGCGTAGAACTGGGCGCGAGAAAAGGGCCGCAGACACCTTGAGCATAGGCTGGAAACAAGTAACGCTCGCAGAAGCTGGTATTGAGCTGGGCTTTGCTGCACTATATACCTCGCACCGCACCTGCGCGCGGGCGCATCCAAAATTTGCTCAAACGAGAGCGTGACGCCGAAGAAGGAAAGTTGACATCAGGAGATCGCAGGTCTACAGCAGACGTGACCACACCACGTCCGCTTATTGATCTTCTTTCCTACTTGCTCGATCTCGCTTCGCCTTCACATGCCAAGTGATACCCACAAGCATCGCCGCAACAGCAAGACATAGGCCTGTGAATACTTGCATCCCAATCCATCTGCTCTCCTCCTTGAAACTGCCGCCAATGGCTCCAGCGACGGGATTGCCCACAAGAACTCCCAACGCAAGACAGAAATTGTTCATTCCCATTCGACCTCCCACCAGTCTCAAATCTGGCGTGATGGCTGCAATGGTAGGAGTCTGAAGACTCACAAACGTACCGCTGAACGCTCCATACAGCAATGACCACACAATAACCCCAGCTTGTCCGGTCACCGCGATCCACACCAGTGCAACAATCGAAGAGATGGCGGTGGTGAACGTGAGCACTGTCAAACAACCATATCGATCAGCTAAGAAGGCTGGCAAAACTCTTCCGAGAATACTTCCGGCTGACAGGATTGGCAGCATAAAGTATACGAGTTCTCCCGTGATGCCGCCGCGTTTCAAGGAGTATTCTGTGATGTAGAAGAAGGGCACGTAAAGTCCCATAGCTCCGATGAAGGAGACGATTGCGAAGAGTGTGAAGAGGATTTCTCGAAAGCCGCTGAAGTCAACGATCTTGGGACGCGGAGGTGGAAGAGTACGCATGTTGGCGCATGCGAAGGAGATAGCGCACGTCGCAAGTGCCATGAAGCCCATCACTCTGAGCGACCAGCCAAAGCCTGAGATACTGCATTAGCAGGGCTACGACGGCATTCACAAAAAACGGTCGACTCACCGATCATCGGCTCCAACTTGTGGAACGTGATGGGATACACGACACCTCCTATGCTACTCCCAGTCGCAGCGAGACCTGTTGCAATTGCCCTTCTCTTCTCGAACCATCCTGGTATCACTGCCACCGCAACGATGAACAATGAACCCGAGCCAAGTCCGATGCATACTCCTTGGGCCAGAAAGATTTGCCAGTATGTTGTGCACAACGAGGTCATCATGAGACCCAGCACTGCAAAGAATCCCCCGAAAGCGATGAGACGACGTGGGTGGCCTCGATCAAGGATACAGCCTGCGAATACGCTTCCGACCGCGAGCAAGAAGCCCTGGATTGTGCCGATCCATGAGATGCTGCTATTACTTTCGCTTCGGAGCATCACATTCGAATAGTGGAGTTGGAAGATGCCGAAGGCGGTCACCATTCCCCAGCCTGTAATGGACAAGGATAATCTGTAATTGCGACACTATTGTGACATTATTGTTCTAAACGAATCACTGTTGAAGTACAGCATGAACCCAGACAAGATCTGGAGCCATCCTCGCAACGTCCCATCAGGTATTGGTGTGTCATAGTAGCTTGATGCTACAGATGCATTTCCGGAGTCGTCCTTCTGCTCGTTCGAAGATTCGCATGTTGACTTCCTCCTCTCACCTCCAGACAATTCTGCTTCATCCGCTTTCAGATCATAGCTAAAATGGTTTCGATCCACTTCCCCCATTGCTAGTCGAAGCGATATCTGATCCTAGTATGCCTCTGGATAAACAAGATAATGTCGAACAAGCATCATCAGCACACCCTTGACTGTACGCTTTGGCTTGTCCTGCTCCTGCTTCATGCTGCTCAAGGAGACGCAGTCGACACTGACTTGTTTCTTTGACATTGTGAGAAAGAGAGTGTAGCAGCAGTATATTCGCCAGAGGCAGATATAGCAATGGCCTGCCTAGAGAACCACCAGATCCTTCTCATCATATTTGAGAAGGGCCGTTTCAGGCTGCTGCACAATCACCATAACCAGGGTGTGCATAATGATGTCGATCTCAAAGATACCGAAGCCATGGGGCACGGAAGTGCCAGATCTTCTTCGCCTAAGCTTCAATGGCTTCATCATCAACGTCATTAGAGATACACAGTAAAGACTGCAGATCTCAGACTGCAGAAACCAGCCAGCCAACACAGCCAATGCTATCGGACCTAGTGACCAGAGTATGCCTGTGTGCTGTACGTTTCGTACGTGGGAAATTCAAATTGTCTTTCCGTGGTCCCAGAATTGCAACACGCTGCGTCCTGCATGCTCTCGAGGAGAAGTTTGGCAGTGATGTAAGCACAGTACGGAGAAGTTCGTTCCTGTGGCTTCTAATACCACCCTTCTTCGCATTGTGGATGATCTCCTCTGCAGCGGTTCATGAACAAGCATGCCGAGGCTACGATTCGAGGCAGGTTCGTTGACGGGCATGATTTTGGAGAGTTTGGATAGCGTAGCAGATCTCGGATGACTATACTGTAAAAGGGAAGCACACTTCCTCTCTGTCAACAAGGTCTTGCTGGTATCCACGAACGCTGACAGCACGTTCGAACCTTCCGGTGTTGTTATGATGAACTCATCGGCGTCTTTTGTGCTGTCGTGGCTTCGGTTGAAAGGTTGAAAAGGAATGCTGATGTTGAAATGCAGAAGGAAGCAGCGGGTCGGGGGTCCTACGTTGATCTCCCAGGCTCTTGGCGCAGATCGCCTCCTCATCCTGCCACGATAGGACATTGAACGAACACTGCCTATGGGGTGCACTGGGGAGGATGCACTGGGGAGGATGCACTGGAGAGTGTCGACATCATCAATCACAATAGTCCATTTGCTGTACAGAAATACGAAAATTTGCAACACTGGTATCTGCCCAAACGCCCACCAAACAACAACGCCGTGGTCCTCCACGTCATAACAAGCTCCAATTCACCTAAGCGGTCCCCTCGACCACTTTGCAGCCTTCATTAACAATCTTCATAATATCCTCATTCTTATGCGGCAACAGACCAAGAGCGAATGCGACATCATTCCATTGCCGTTCACTCTCAGCCCTTTGCAACCTCGGCGCCAGCTTGGATGCCAATTGCTTAGCGTGCTTGTCCTTCTCGATGAAAGTCGCCAGGAACTTGATGACCTTCCTGAATCTCTCCTCATCGAGACCTTGATCTGCAGACAACAAGCTGAACATATCGACGAAGTGGTTGTACACCGCATTATCTTTGCCCGCAAGCTCAGCGAAGAACATTCGTGACATCTCTCGAATGCGTTCATCGCTGTCCTCGATACATTTCGCCATCTCTCCCAGCTGGCCTTTGACCTTGACTTGACCTGCGAGAATGAGGAAAGTGAGGGTCATCAGGCAAGTGCGTTTGACTTGGAGACTTGCGTCTGACAGGCGGCGGTAAAGGAAGTCTGTGTTCTCGTCGATGAGGTGATTGAAGCAGACTGCCATATCTCCGAGAGCAACAACAAGATTGCTACGAGTAATAGAGCTCGGAGAGCGTTCCAAGATGGTGATGAGGAGGCCAAGATTAGACTCGCAGAATTCGGAGCTGACACACATCAGTTTCGCCATGCACAACGCTGCCTGTGCCTGAAGTTCGGCATTGGGATAGGAAGTGTTATTGCTGCAGATCTCCGACACCAGAGGACCAAAGTGAGTGAGCAACGACTTCTCGCCAAACAGCAGCTCGCGCTCACGAATGTGTGCGATCGCATCGGTGAAGTCGTCTTCGTTCGTGCCGGCCATGAGATCGAGTTCGTCCGCAGCTTCTTCCTCCTCAGACTTCTTATCGCCCTTCTTCGATTTCTTCGCCGAAGCAGGTTCAGACTTGCCGAGCTTCTCCTTCTCAGCTTTCCTACGCTTGAAGTCCTGCTCGCACAGTTCGAGGTGAACGATCTGCTTGAGAGCGATATGGCCGACCGCAAACAGCAGCTGCGATAATGCTAGAGCTGAGTCGCTGCTTGAAGTCGCTGCGGGCTCCTTAGCCTCTGGTTGCTGTTCAGCTTCTGCCGTAGCATCCTCTGGCAAATCGCTCATATCCACATCGCCATCGTTGTCCATCTGCCTTTCATCCACCTCTGCTTGCTTGGGTGGCGGAGTCGCCTTTCGAGCGAAGACACTCTTGGTCTTTCGCCGAATGATCTCTGAGCAGAGAACGTCGGGGTGCTTTGAAAGAGCGTAAATGGCGCCAATAGCCTGCTCAGCAAGGCCGTACCAGTCTCTACTGTCGCTTTCAATCTCAAGAAGATTGGCTAGGCGAACAAGCACAGCGTGGTCATTCGGCAGCCTTGTGCTTGGCTTGGCCTCGGTACCCTTCACTGGCTTGTTGTTTGTCATCCGCATGAGCGCAATGCAGGTGTATCGAGCCAGCACAAGATCTTTGCGACCGATAGCACCAAGTCCAACACGTAGACAAGTCTCCATCTCCTTCACCACGATATCTGGATCGGCTAATGCGAGCATCCCGAGGACAATGATGCAACCACGGCGCTGTTGCTTTGAGATCTCCTTCTTTTGGACGCCATACACCTGCCAGAGCTTCTGGATCACGAGCTCGTTAACAGCTTTCTCCTTCATCATCGTTGCCAGAAGTTGCTCCAGACTTGTCAGCTCTGCGGGTGTGCAGCCATAAGTCAAGCTCATCATGTTTCTGGCAACGTAATTGGCGGCTTCGCTGGCGTTGAAGTTTCCAGGCGCAGCAAAGAACAGCCCTTTGTAGCACTCAATGAGGTGAGTCTGCACTCCTTTCCCTTCATCGCTGTTGCCCTTGGTCCAAATGAGGCGTAGCATTCGTCGAATGCCATTCTTTGCTGTCTCGAGACCGAAAGCATCTGCCGTAACGAAGAAGTCCATCGCTTCAATGACTTCGCTTTTGTTTTTGGACGAAAGTAGCTGCGTGACATGTGGTGAGGCATCGTGAAGCGTTTCGATGAACCTCAATGCCTCGATGTAGTACTTCCTCGTCAGAGACAGTTTGTTCATGACTTCAGCAATCGCTGCATCTTCTTGCGCCTTCTGGAAGGCGGCTGCTTGCTCCTCCTCACTGAGCGGCGCCTTCTCAGGCTCCTCTATTCGTGTCGGGTCGTCGAGCAGGCTTGCATCGACGGTCTGCTCGTTCGGATCGCGATCCGCCAGGCCAGGTGTTTCTGTCGAAGGCTTGAGATTCGCAATCTCTTTCTCGACAGTGTCCAGGCGCTCGCTCCACTCTTGGTAGCCTAGTTGGCCGCCATGGAGCACTGCAAACAGATGCGTGCTCATCAATTTGCCGAGCAGCTTGATCGCATTTCTCCTCACATTCGAGGACTTGTCCTCTAAGCTTTGTCTGGCCAGCTCCGCCGCTTTCTGCCTTCGCTTTGGATACTTTGTCTCCAGGTCGCAAAGCTTCACGTAGACCTGTATTGCTCTGCATCGACAATAGGGATTGATGTCCAGGAATCGCTCCTCGAGCACGTCGAAGAATGCGTTGATCTGGCCCTTGTGCTCTTCTCTCCTCTCGCCTTCCTCCACCTTTGAAAGCATAGCAATCAGATTGCCACATACTTCAATAATGGCACATCTCAAGGTGTAGTTGTTGCTCTCTAAAAGCTTGGCTAGGTAGGTGACTTGACGCTGCACGACTCTTGGAGCGAGCTCTGATAAGCGCGCAACAAACGTCGATACGGACTTCGGACCCTTGGTGTCGCTCTCGTTGAACTCCTTGTTGGACAGCTCTTTCATGACTTCTTCTGCGAGCTGCGGATAGTCATATTGCTCGGCCAGAATGTGGAGAAACTCTGCCATGGGCTCAGACAGATGCTCAAAGTATGTCAAATTCTGGATGACGCTTGTCTGAGCACTGTATGCCTGTCCATGGTGCTTGATGGCAACACACAATACCTTGTAGGCATGCATGCGAATGGCTGTGCTCTTAATTCTCGTCTCGCTCTCTAGGATGAGATATGTCGGCTTGGTGAACATGCTGATGAACGTATCACGCTCGCTGGTAGTCACAAAGATCTTGGCCAATTTCAGCTTCATGACCTTAGCCATCGAATCCAGCGCGGTCTGCAACTGAGATGAGGGATCCCAATTGCCATCTTTCTGAGCCGCTTTGCTCTTTCCCTTTGCGCCTTTTCCTTTCGTCGGAGCGGCTGGTCTCTCCGCGCTCTTAGCTTCAACTGCTGCTATGCACCATTGTAGCAAGAACGCGAAGATCTCGAGGATCTGCCTATGTTGCGCAGTTTCACTCTCGCCTTCCTGCTCGTCATGGTGCACAATAGCGGTCTCAGCGCCCAGACCGCTAATAATCACATCGAAGAGTCGGCCGAGGGATGTAGAAGGAATGTATGACGACTGCCTGGAAAGCTCAAAGAGCTGGCTGTTAGTGCCGCGATTCTTGCTTGTAGATGGAGAGGGAAGAGGGTGCTGATCTGAGGGGAGAATGGGCGCGCACTTGAGCAGAAATTGCAAGCTGTGCAAATTGCTTGCTTGTAGTATTGCCTCTGGGTTCTCGCCCGTTGTGGTCGCTATATCATTCAGTACACTGCTAATCAGGCCAGGCGAAAAGGCATCGGGATCGTTTTCGCATGCGAGAAGGTCTTCTGCCGCTTCGGGAGTCGGTATCGCATGGGGATCGTCGAGGTAGGCTGTCAAAGCCTCACTGATGTCAAATTCGCTCATCGCTGCAGATTATGCGCGATAATGCGCAGAATATCGTCGACAACGCTCTCCAGTGTTGTTTGGCGAAGGACAGGACACCAACTTTGGACATGTTTACCGGGTGCCGGATTCGGCACTAGCGCCGTTTCTATTTACTCGGCGCGCCTTCCTCCACGCGTTCCGCGCCGCGGCTGGCTGCGAACCTCGTGCAAAGCATTGCCTTCCTTGTCTGTACTTCTGCATCACATGCAAGCTGCTCGAGAAAGCGCCATTGAGCCGAAGTGAAACGCAGTGGAGGTAGCCATGGCCATGACTGCGATTCCGGCCCAGGAAGTCGTCGTAGTCCATGAAGACGAAGCTCCACAGTACGGTGACAGCACAGAGGACGACACCGAGGAAATGGACGAAAGCAAAGGCCCATTGGATGAGAGCGGAGGAACTACTTCCGACGAGGAAGAGGAAGACGTCGATTCCGCAGTCGTGGACGACATTGAGAAATTCGAGGCCAGCTTCAAGAATATCACCCAGCGATATCGCTTGATCAATCGCATTGGAGAAGGCACATTCTCCACTGTATACAAAGCCGAGGACTTACTATATGACCGTTATGCCAACGATTGGGACCTCGATGCCGACCAGGATACACAGGATAGCAAGCTCTCACACAAATCCTCGCGTCAGAAAACACGATACGTGGCGATCAAGAAGATCTATGTCACCTCGTCACCGGCGCGAATTCTGAATGAGTTAGACCTTCTGCACGACCTTAAGCATTCGCCCAATGTCTGTCCTCTCATTACTGCTTTCCGGCATCAGGATCAGGTCATTGCCATCCTTCCATATTTCCCACACAAGGACTTCCGAGACTACTACCGCGACTTCACCGTCTCAGACATGAGGATATACTTTCACAACCTCTTCACAGCTGTGAGTGCTGTGCATGATGCCGAGATCATCCACCGCGATATAAAGCCAACCAACTTCTTATACTCACCTGCTCAGCAGCGAGGTCAGCTTGTCGACTTTGGTTTGGCTGAGCGGGAAGGCACCGACCATCATCCCTGTGCATGCGAGTGGGAGTCAAAGGACCGAGACAGGAAGGTCAGGAATTCTGTGTATTCTGCCACGATTGCCGCAGCTCAGGCTGCGGGCCAGGAGCCACCGAAACCCAGTTATCCAAAAGAAGACCACCGGTCATCTCGACGTGCAAACAGGGCCGGTACGCGTGGCTTCCGTCCTCCAGAAGTGTTGCTCAAATGCACGGCACAGACCTGCCTCATCGATATATGGAGCTGCGGGGTCATCCTCCTCACATTCCTGTCCAAGCGCTTTCCATTCTTCCACTCGGCAGATGACATAGACGCCTTCATCGAGCTATGCAATATCTTCGGAAAGAGGAGAATGAAGGAGGCGGCTCTCCTCCATGGCCAGATCTTGGAATTGACACTGCCAACGGTCAGCGAGAATGGACACAGCTGGGAGAAGGTTCTGCTATGGTGTCTCGGCCGCAATAAGAAAGAACAGCCTAGCAACGGCCTGACGGACGAAGAGCGTGAAGCTGTGGATTTCATGCAGTGCTGTCTCGAGCTTGATCCGTCGAAACGAATCACAGCAGAAGATGCGCTGCAGCATCCATGGCTGAGACTCGATGCATCCGAGCCAGGAAGTGAGGAGATGGTCGATCTCACGAGCTCCGAGAGCCTGTAAGCAATGAAATGCGAAGGCATGGGACATTGGAGGGAGCAAAATGCCTCTTGAGACTAATGGGTGATCTGTGGGATCGCGTATGACCCAGCTCACAGGCATTGTTGGCGTTTGGGAGCGTGGCATCTTACGAGGAACAGGATGATACCCAATCATGTTGCATGTACATAGTGTACGACTAGAGGAATAATGACTCATGCCTGATTATTCGTGTTCTCCAAATACCGGTACCCATTCGGCATCTGAGAGTCGGGCTGTCCAATGTGGAAATGACATGACTCGCGTCTTCCTTCGTTGTCAGGGGTCGGCGACCCGAGCCTACCTCCATTCAGGCTTGCGGGAAGAAGAATTACGTAACATAGACTTTTATTAAGCTTCGACTAGACTTTCACGACGTTTTAACGGCACCTAACTGATTCTTCTCCTATAAGCCTAAGAACAAATCGGGCTAAACTAGTACGTAGAATATAGCTACTTACCCTTAGAGGCTATAATATAACTATCTCTATAGTAATATTACGATCTAAGTAGCTAAGGTCCGTTATATAGTATCTAACTACGTCCTCTAACTCTAAGATTAAATACGATATAGCGTTATTATCGCGATCTATCCGCTACGAAGAAAAGTAAATTACGATAAAAGTCTTAGTATTTTCCCTCGAGCCCTATAATATAAATACCTAGTAATCTATAGTTATATATATATCTAGAGGTCCGAGAAATAGGCTATTAGAAGGGGCTTAAAAGCGTAGATATATATAGACTCGTATTATTATAGTTTTCTAGCCTTCGAGCCTCGGAAAATCTAGGATTTCTTATAGTTCGTACGAATAAGTTATAACTAGCCTTAGTATATAGAAGATAGAGCCTATAGTACCTAAACTAGCGATTAGCTTATATAAGACAAATTCTTCTTCTTATTAAGGCGTAGGACTCTTTTTCTAGGTTTGTCTTTATTTAATATAGACGTTATTATATAGGTTAGAATATACTATTATAGTAACTAAAATCCTATAGGTAATTATATAGAGGAGGCCCGGTTTAGTTTTAGCCTTTAGGCGCTCCGCTATAGGCTTCGCTTAGACCGCTACTATTGTAATAAGGGTTATATTAGTAGGTAGATAGGGTAGTAGTAGGTATAAGTAGTATTCGATAAGGATCTAGAAGGAGAGGGAGGAAGGTAGGAGAGTTAGCCTAATACTAAGCGCTAAGCCCTACCTAAGGCATCGAGACCCTAGCTTTACTCGGCCTAGTTATATACTAATTACATATAGCCTCTTTAGCCCTAATATACGCTTCCCTTCTAAAGGCCGCGCCCCCGTAGCCTTTCTATATTCTAATCCTAACCTCTATTACTACTAACTTAGCAAATCTAATAAGCTGCTTAGCTGCGCTAAATTAAACACTTAACTACCTAATTATATACCTATATTAAACCTTACCTTCTAAGCGCAATATACTGCTTAACTCTAACTACGCTATCCTTATATATAATAAAGTAATATATATCTATAAGAATTAAGGACTATCGACTAATTATAATACGAGCGCGTCTTCCCTACTATAATAGGTAGACGTACGAGGTATTGCAGTACTGCCTCCGTTCTAAGTAATATTATCCGAGTTCTTTACGTCTACTCTAAAAGACCTAGAAATGTCCGCTCCCGAGGGATTATTCTTATTATTACGAGGGCTATTATTGTTCGTAGTTTCGCTAGCCCTAATTAGTTAGGTTTAGTAGCCTTTAATTATTAATTAATCTTATCTTTTTAAAAACACAGTTCGTCTAGTTTCTATAAGTAAAGGCTATTATAAGTGCAATAGTTAAGGTTCGCTTCGCTTAAAGGATCGGAAAGATCGAGGAGTAACCTATTGTCTACAAGATCGACCCTAGCTAGCTTAGCTCTATATTTTTGCCCTTAGTTAGTCTATTAATCGCTTAATCTTTTAAGCCTCTAGCCCTCCGAACGGCTCGATCTTTTAACCTAGCTAGCGTAGTACGTTCCGGCCTTAGGCTACGGTATAGGTAAGGTTGTTCTTATAGGTATAGTAACGATAGTAAGTAAGGTTAATAATAGTAGTAAGTAGGTAACGTTAATAATAGCGGCGCTAGCCGTTTTAGCTCTAACTTTACCTTGCTTCTAATTTCCTTCTTTAACTAGTAATACACTCCGTACTACTATTACTAATATAGCCGCGCTGTCCCTTAACTATCGCTAGCTCGCGGCGCGGCGCTATTATCGTTATTATTATTATTATCCGCGCGCGCTGTCCTCGCCGACCGCCTAGGCCTCGAGGCCTCGATAGAATAAGGGAACAAAAGAGGGGGATCTAAATGCTAAGAGGAGAGCCTTATAGGGCGTATTAGTAAAGGGGTAGAGCCCTTAAAAGAGTAGGCGGTTAGTTAACGCGGTATAGCGCGCTTATTAACATTCTATACGCGTTCGCTATTATAGTATAGTCTCGTTGTCTTTACTAATAATTGCTCGCCTCTAATTAGTTAGCTAATAGTACTCCGGGGGTAGTATTAATCCTAGGTCTCTCTAGCGACTTCTAGCGATATTATAGACCCTTAGCTTTCTTCTTCTTCTTTATACTAGTCTAATACTTATCTAATAACTTAGATATATTCTTAAAGGAGCCTTTAGCTTCCTATAAGTCCTATTTAGGCGAATAGCCTTGCTATCTTAGTAGGTACTCCTTCTTGCCTTGTCTAGTCTAATGGTTTAGTATTCGTTCGACCGACTATAGCTCTTTACTATTAGCTAAGACTTCTTCTAACTTAGCAGGCGCTTTATCGCCTTCGCGCTAGTAGTATAGCTTAAGGAGGGATATATAGAAGGTATTATAGATAGTATAATAGCCCTAATAGGGAGGAAGCTACAACTAATAGGCCTATACGGAGGAGTTCTTAACTTCCCGAATACGGAATAGGCTAATGTATCTTAGTACGAGCTTAGGCCTTGTTTTACTATTAGGTAATAGGTATTTGCGGATGCGGAGGTTCTTTATACTAAGTATAACTATATCGCCTTGCTTAAAGGTTATTAGTATATAACGCTTATCGTAGTAGGTCTTTTAGTACTCTTAAGCCTTTATTAGCTTCTTAGCTATCTTAGTATAGATTTCTCGTATCTTCTAGACACGTTCTATTACCGCTAGTGTTTCTAGTACTTAACGCGCTTCCCTTTCCTTACGCTCGGCCTCGAGCGACGTAAATAGGTCTTATAGTAAGGTAGCGTTTCGGCCTATTATAGCTATATAGGGTAAAATCTTAGTTAATAAGTGTATACTATTATTGTATACGAATTCTATAGGCTATAGGAGGTTAACCTAATCCTTGGGGTTCTTATTAGTGTAGCTACGTAGGTACTGCTATAAGGTAGTATTCTGCCTCTCTATTTAACCGTTAGTCTATAGATAGAAGGCTATTAATAGCCGATGCTTTAGTTTTAGCTATAGGTATATTTCGCTCTAATAGTGCGATATTAGTATCGATCTAGGATTAGATACTATCCCCTTAGGGGTTCCCTAATAGGTATAGAAGATATTATTCTATAGCGCTTCTACTATATTAATAGCAGTCTAATCCTTCCGCGCCGGGATATATCGAGCGCCTTTAGTAAATCGATCTACTATAATAAGGATAGTATTATATATATCCTTGCTGCCCCTACGCTTAGTAGGAGGAAGGCCTATAATAAAATCTATTATAAGCTCTACGAATAGCTTCCTAGGAATAGGAAGTGAAGACAACTCGCTAAATAGCAAGTACTTTAGTGCCTTAATACGCTAGTATACTATATAGGTCTATATATATTCTTTTATATACTGTTTACTATTTAGCTAGTAGTATATGCGTAATAGTAGCTCGTGCGACCTCTCTATACTATAGTAACTAGCAAGCTTACTATTATAGTATCGCTTTAAAAGCTCTTATCTAATCGATTGTTTAGCGGGGATATAGTATCTACCCTTAAACTTTAAGTAACCTTCGTCGTTAATCGACTAATTATTACTTTTACTAGATCGAGTCTTTCGCCTACTTATAAGCTTATTAATACGTTTAATAGCAAAGGCGTCCCTCTACTAAGCCTATAATAGCTTATCTATAAACGATTAACTATCCCTATTTGTAAGGTTATTTAATAGTATCCTTACTATCGAACGAGGTACGTATTATATATATCTAATAGTACTAGTAGCTAGAACTACTATAACCTCTTCTATAGTGCTATCGCTATAGATAGCAATATCTTTAATCGAGTCGTTATAGCTCGAGCGATCTACGTCCTTTCTAACGCATACTAGAAGAACGACAACTCCGCTATAGTATTTGTTGCCGCTACGGGGTCCGGAAGTCCGCTTATCCTACGCTTACTTATTAACAACATAGGCTATAGCAATCTTATACTATAGGGTTAGAAACAATGAATTAATATACTAAGTCTCGCTATCGTAATTAGGTCGCCTCGATAGACTATTAGTAGGGTTACTTACGCCTAGCCGGTATAATATATTAAAATCGAACCTAGCGAGGTAGACGGCCTATCTAGCCTATCGACCTATAACCCTTATAACCTTAGTAACACTACGCAGGTTGTTATAGTCTATATAGACCTAAATAGGGTACTAAGCACTATCGAGATAGTAGCGCTAATACTTAAAGGCTTCTACGATTGCTAAGAGCTCTTACTTATAGGTCTCGTAACGACGCTCTATATCGATTATCTTTCGTAAAAAGAAGGCAATCGGGTACTAATAGGTATTATTAGCCTATTATAATATAATAGCTAATATAGCGAACTGTAAAGCGTTAGTTTTAATTCAAATCTGTTTGCTTAGTACGAAATAGTATAATAAGGGGACTTTAGTAAAGCGCCGCTTTAGACCGCCAAAAGCGGCTTGTGTTCTATTAGTCTATTTAAACTCCCTAGATAGGTTAGCCTTAGTTTTAGTAAGCTTAGTTAGTAGTATTACGTGCTATAGATAACCTTCGATAA